GCTGTATACAGAACAACCTCCTTAACACAGACTCAGCTGGGAACGCACCCATTTTTTGTATGGGCAAATCCTGGATTGGCTTCGATATCTGGTGGCCTGGCAACCTGTGGTAATAGGAGTCGTTCAAGGCATTAACTATTCACTGGGGCTGGAATAGCACAGCAGACTTACTCCAGCAGCAATGTATTGCATGGCTGAAATGTTTTTAAATCCTTCGTTCTATATTTAATATTTATATTCCTTTTTCATTTTAGAGATGATCTCCAGAGTTCAGAAAACTAAATAAAATTTGGTATCACACTTAAAGCAATTTATCTTTGTGCAAAGAATTAAAGAGAAGCTAAATGGTGGAATAAACAAATAAAGTATGCTCTCACATCTTTCCTATCCCAATTGTTTTCTAGAAACCCATGCATGCCATCCATTGGTCATACCCCTCATGGACATTCCACCCCAAGTTTGGCTGAGAATGGTCTCACCTGAAAAGGGTTTCAAGGGTTTTCAAAGTACTTGTCACATAGAGCATGGAGTTATAATTCGTTATAATAACATCATCAGTCCAGTATCTTCAGAGAAAGTAGAACTTTTCAGTTATCTGCAGCTTAAGGATTTTGGCTTTCTACTCAGTGTGCTATCATCATGTGGAAGCACCCACAAAGCACTTGGACAGAAGGTGGGACTCCCAAAGTCTGCTATATCGGGTGCTATACTTAGTGGGCCACAGGTACTCTGGGGTCCTTGGGGCTGCTGAGTGCACTGCACCCACTCAAGCATGCACTGAAGGGGAAAGAGTCACTCTGCTTTAGTGTTACTCACTGTATGCACACTCACACACGCAAATGCACAAATATACGAGGACAGCGTGTTAGCTTATGTGTTCCTGTGACACATAAAATATGTAACACAAACAACTTGAAGTACAAAAAGATTTATTTTAGCTCAGAATCTCAGTGTGTTCAGTCTGTGGTTGGCTGGCTCCTTGCATTGGGCCTGAGGTGAAGCAGGCCATGGTGGAAGGGCATGGACAGTGGTATTCATCTTATGAAAACCAGGAAGCAGAAAGAGAGGAAGAGCCAGGGACAAGATATAGTCCCGATTTTCACACCCCCAGTGACATACTTCCTCTAACCATGCCCCACCTACCGACATTTTCCACCTCCTCCCACTAGACTCTTCAAGTTATTAATCCACCAAATGGATTAATCCACTGATGAGGTTAGAGGCCTCAGTCCAATCCTTCCTGAAAGCACCACTTCTGCACATTACTGCACTGGGGACCACGTCTCAACCCCTGAGCTTTGGGGGGACATACCACATCCAAACCATAACAGACATACGCCATAATCCTGTTTCTTTACTCTGCTGTTATCTTTTTCATACCTGAAATCATGTCATACTTTTATTCCACGAAGGCAGGGAATTCTGTCTGTCTTGTTTCCTACTGTGTCCCCAGCACTTACACAGTGCCCAGCGTGTAACAGGCACTTAGTAAAAGTAAATGCTCTTCTGAAAGAATAAATCAATTTGACAGGAGAGAACAAAATTAACTGAGTAGGGGAAAACAGAATTAACCCAAGAATCATTTGCTGGAATCCCAAAATTGTTCAAATTACTGTTATTTTTTAAACAGTCAACACTGTATACAGAACACTAGATCACTATTCTGCAGCACTTGAGGATGCCTACTCTGCATCACACCTGCGTGAAATAGGAAGGAGTACATCAACTGTTATTTTCCTTGTCCAAATATTGACAGTGACTTAGTGTTATTCAAAGTTCTGTCATCAATGTGTTCACAGAATTACACTATTCTACCATTATGTATGAATAACTCCATCATAATAAGTTTAATCCCTCCCCCAAATTTCAAACAAGTTTTCCAATACCATAGAACTGATTAAATGATGGCCTACTCAGAGAGAGGGTTAGTATTCAGGTGTTAAAAATGATGGTCTCCTCTCAAAAAACTAGAAATAAAACTTCCATCTGATCCAGTCACCCCACTACTGGGCATATATCCAAAGGAAACAAAATCAGTGTGTTGAAGAGATACTTGCACTCCCACGTTTATTACAGCATTCTTTACAATAGACAAGAGGTAGAATCGACCAAGATGTCAATTGATGGATAAATAGATAAAGAAAATGTGGGGAATATATATGATGCATTAGTATTCAGCCACAAAAAAAAAATGAAATTCTGTCCTTTGCAGCAACATGGACAGAACTGAAGAATATTATGTTCAGTAAAGTGAGTAAGGAAGAGAAAGGCAAATACCACATGTTCTCACTAATATATGGAAGCTAAAAAGTTGATCTCCTTAAACTAGGGGAATAGCTTGATGGGTGCTTGCCTGGTATGCAAGGCCCTGGGTTCAATTCCTAGCACCACACACACACAAAATGTTGATCTCATAGAAGCAAAGAGAACAGTGGCTGGGAAGGGTATGGAGGAGGGAGGGATGGAGAGAGGCTGGTGAGCAGGTTCAGGGGTGCAGTTGGAAGAGAGCAATGACTTCTGTTCTGTGGCACAGTAGGATAACTATGGTTAACCACGATTAGTTGCATATTTAAAAGTAGTTCATAAGAAAGATTTTAAATGCCCCTAACAGAGAAATAATAAATATTTAGGTGATGGGTATGCCAATTATACGCTGATCTGATCATTGCACATTATATATACATATTGAAATATCACGCTGGCCCCCATAAATGTTCAATTATTAAATGTCAATTAAAATAAAAAACATTTTTTAAAAAAAGTTCTGTCATCAAGAGAACTCACATGAAAATTTCCACCTGTTGGTAATTTTCCTTCTTCAAACTGCCCAGTGCTTCATTATCATACGGGCATCACCATCCAGGTTACTAGATTTAATCACTATTCATTTCCCTACTCAGCACATATTTCAATAATTCAATGCTTCAATAATTGTACTAGGCATATTCAAGGGATAAAGAGATAAACCAAGTTTTTTGAGCTTACAGTCCATTGACAAATAAAACATCTTGCATCTGAAAAAAATTGTTTTTGTTCCAAAAAAGGGTCCCTTACACTGATCTCTGATGTATTTGCTGCTTGCCCTTTTTGGACAGCTGCACGGGGGTAGCTTCTGGAACCTTAAAATTCTGGGCAGCTAAAGCAATATTTCTCTTCATAGAGTTCAAAATGGTCCTTGCAGTTCAGAAATGTCAGATAATCACTCAACTAGTCAGCTTTCCATGACTGAAGCGAGTACCTGAGATCAGCAAGTTAAAAAGAGGAAAGGTTTATTTTAGCTCACAGTTTTGGAGGTTTCAGTCCCTGGTTCCTTGGCCCCATTGCTTTGGGGTCTGTGGTGGGCAGTAAATCACAGCAGGAAGCACAGGCCCGAGAAAGGTGCCCACTTCATGGGAACCAGGAAGCAGAGTCCCAATATCCCCTTCAGGGACTTAATTTCAATAACCCACCTGCATTCCACCAGGCCCCATCTCCTAAAGGTCCTCCCACCTCCCAGCAGCGCCACTGGCTGGTGATCAAACTGTCAACACCTGAGACTTCAGGGGACATTCAATGTGCAAAATGTAGCAATCAGTAAACTATCTTAAAAAAAAAAAAAAGGAATATGCCATTTTCTTTGTAAACTGTAAGTATTTACAGTCTTATCTCAATTTTGTGAAGTACTAGGTACAGCTGCATTGATAAAGATTGGAGAGCTATATACTAGTTACCTGTGGTTATACCAAGGTGATGGAATAAGAGCTGATTCCTATTTTTATATATTATCTTTTCTAAATTTTTTTCAGTGATGTTCAACATTGTAATAAAAAAAATTATAAAGATTATTTTAACGGTAATCTTAAGTCTATCAATATACTTTGAGGCTATTACTATTGGTATTCAAAAAAATTTTTTTTTCTTAAGGGAGGGTCTCACTAAGTTGCTTAAGGCTGAGGCTGGCATCAAATTTGCAATTCTCCTGCCTCAGCCTTCAGAGCTGCTGGGATTACAGGCACGTACCACCCCGCCTGGCTGCTGTTCAAATTCTTAAAGCTAAATATATAAATCAAGTCAATGTATCTCTGGTTCTCACAATAATCAACATGGCGCTTAGTAAAGGCAGTGAGAAAGAAAAGCAGAAAATTCATTGCTGTTTGGGGGTTTCCTTCTGCTGAACCTACCCCCCCACACTTTTTTTTTTTTTTTTTTTGGTCCAGGGGATTGAACTTGGAGACATTCGACCACTGAGCCACATCCCCAGCCCTATTTTGTATTTTATTTAGAGACAGGTTCTCATATTGAGCTGCTTAGTGCCTTGCCGTTGCTGAGGCTGGCTTTGAACTCACAATTCTCCTGTCTCGGGCCTCCTGAGCCACTGGGATTACAGGCATGTGCCACCACACCTGGCCTAAATCTACCCTTTTTTCCTCTTAGGCTGGTGTGTTTCATCTTCCACACTCTCCTGGGACTTGGTATTAGAAGCGCTGTGTGAGTTCTCCAAGATTGACACCTGATATATACTGAATGAACTTATTTCCTTTGGGTAATTTTGAGAACAGCAGGGTTCCTTTTAGCCCTGCTAGTCCTGATGATAGAAAAAAAAAATCCACTTAAACCAATAATTCTATAAAGAAATGTATCCCTTCCTGAAAAATCATAATAGCTCACATCTACGCCAGGCATTGCTGCCATATCACACCAGGCAAAACGGTTCTCATTCTCGCAGGCTTGGAACCCTTGCCCTCCTCACACCCTCCAGAAGCAAGGGTACCAAGGAGCATGTGCTCCCTAGATTACACACATTGCTGCGGTCCAAACCTAGCAGGTGCAGGTGACTGTCCCTATTTCGAGGACAAGAAAACATTTTGAATCAGGCCAGGTGACTTGTCCAAGGTTATACATCTGCCAACCCAGATCTCTTCTCACTCCAGAACCCAATTAAGCCTAGTCTGGTTGAGATTTGAGCAGGGGTTGAAGGTGGTTCACTCCCTTTCAAACACAGTTCCCAGCAAAGAAGAAAGTGGCCCAGAACCAGAAACGAGCTCTTAGCAAAGAGTGCTCATCGGCATTTACTGTGTTATTAAATCTTGATTATAGAGATTAATATATGCTAGCATGATCATCAAATTATTGTTGACTGAACTGTTTCTGAGTCGTGATAAAGAACCTTTAGGTATATAGTTATTTAAAAATCTGTTCAGCTCACATGGGTTGTTTAAAAATTTTTCAGAAGGAAAATTTTTAAAAGGAAAGCTCTCTCTTTTTTTTTACAAATTAGAAACATGACTTTCAAATAAGCTGGGAGTAGTGGCGCACATTTGTAATCCCAGTGGCTTGGAAGGCTGAGACAGAAAGATGACAAGTTCAAAGCCAGCCTCAGCAGGGAGACCCTAAGAAACTTA